TTTTTTTTTTTTTTATCTTCACCTGAGGATATTTTTTCGATTGCTTTTTCAGAGAGTGTAAGAGAGAGCGAGCGAGAGAAACATCGGTGTGAGACAGACACATCCATTGGCTGCCTCCGCACGTGCCCTGACCAGGGCCGAGCCTACAACCAAGGTACATACCCTTGGCCAGAATCAAACCCGGGACCCTTCAGTCCACGGGCTGACACTCTAACCACTGGCTAGGGCCCCATGGCTATTTTTTAACTACCAATTTGTACTCCTAAATCCCTTCACTTTTTCCACTCAGTCCCCCAATTCCCCTCCCCTCTGGCAACTGTCATTCTGTTCTCTGTATGAGTCTTCACCTAGGACATTTTTAATAGCTGCAGAAACTTCTATATGTAGATGCAATATAATTTCTTTAACCAGTTCCTTGTTTCAGTCTTTCTAATGCTGTATGCATAGGCATTTAGTTGTATCTTTTCAGTTATTCATAATTATTTCTTAAGCCTCAATTCCTAAAAAGAAATGTAATTATTTGGACAATAAGGAGCCAAGTTGCTATTCAAGTCCAGATCTCTGATCTTCACAAACCTGATTCCATAGCACAGTATTTCAACCTATTGTGAATATTTTAAAAATTTATCTTTATTGTTGAAAGTATTATAGATGTCCCCTTTGATTTCCCCCCATTGACCCCATCCATCCGACCCTGCCCTCCCCAGGCCTTCTATTGTAAGTATTTTTATGTTACATCCACAAATCAAATGAGTGAATGAATGAACAAATAAATTAGAGCTTAATCCATTAAGGTTGGCCATTTTAACAAACTGCCATTAGTTTAGCTTAGTTTTGAAGTCTGGAATAATTGACTCCGAATGTGTGTGGCAACATTTAGGTCTCTGGTTTCCACATCACATGCACATTCATGCCCATTTGTGTTAATTAAATTTCTTTGGGAATGGAGAAGAGTTTAAGTGGTCAGAAGATAGTCTGAGCTATGGATAATCCCATTCCCTACTGGAGTGCCCAGCAAGGTCTGCATGCAGGTGCTCTGGGGAAGGGCTGAGTCAGCCCTGTCTGTATCTGTCCCACCCAGCAGTTTAACGCCTATCTTTGAGTAGTAGCCACAGTCTGACTGGTTGTAAAGTATCTCAATAATAGGAATGCTTATCAGAGTTCCTGTACTCTGAAACCTAGAGAAGTTATTTCCTCAATAAAAAGATTAAGGCTAATCACACAGATTTTCAGTGATGTGTAAAGACGGGGTGTAATGACTCTGGTAAGTGAGTTGTTAAAATGGAGACTGAGAGAGGGTTCCTGAGGGGTGAGGGATTCAAACCCAAAGGGGAAAACATGGTGAGTGAAAAACCTCTGAATGCACACATTAATAAATTACATACATATATACAAACACCTCAGCCCCATTCTAGAATCTGAGGGGTGTTCCTCAATTGAGGGTCATCAAAGGAATGCACATATGCTACAAATGGGTTTATGTGGAAGAGTCGGAATAGAACCTAAGTCCTAGGAAAGCCTATTTAAAACAAACTGGATTTAAATATTTTAGTCAGTGTGGAGGGTCTTCATCCACAGTGGCCTAAAAGAAGCCTAATCAGGGTCAGAGAAGCAATACTGGAAGCTCAGCCCTGCCCAGTGCTCGAAAGGGTGCTGGTTGGGTCCATTCAACAACCAAGCCCCTGTGAGGACTTGAGTGGGAAGACAGCAAGCTTGGCCCCGAGCTCTATATTAAGAGCTCCCTGAAATCACTTCTTGCTAAGGAGAGGTGAGGAAACATGTCCACCTCCCCCCAAGAATATCTTTAAACAAGGCAAAGCATCCCTCTTTCAAAAATACGGGGCCACTTCAGGAATCTGGATCAGTGAGACTGCGACCTACCCTGCCGATGGTGGTTTTGTAGGCCGTCCTGATTTCCTGGCGCTGGGCCGTGCTGCGGTAGGCGAGCACGCTGATAATGGCATCTTCATCGGTACCTGGGGGTGGGAAGGCAGTGAGCGGGCACGATCTGACAGAGGAATGAGAAAATGAGTTCCTCTGCGGAAATCGGAGTCACCCAAACACACGCGGAGAGCTTTCTAAGAAAAGAGGTTTGTTCAGAGGGTTTGTCTATTTTGGAGGAAAACAGACACTAGCTTTGAGTCTTAGCCTCTCCTTTAATTACCTATATACCACCAAAAAAAATAGTTAACTTTTCTCTGAGCATTAGTTTCCTTATCTATAAATGTGAATGATCATAAGGCTGATGCAAGTGTTAACTAGAGTAATTAACTGAATTACTTAGCACAGTGATTTTCAACAGGTGTGACACAAGAATTTTTAAAACATGCAATACCTGACTATTTAGTCAGGGGCATTGACCTCTTTCCCCTTAGATTATCAAATACAAAAATAACAGCAGCCGACACAACAATATTTGCCGGGTGTGAATGCCCTGTCTTGAACCATAAATATATAGGTCAATAATACAGTTGCATCTTATTGGTCACGTTGCATAATAAGGTTGCATCTGACTGATTAATTCTGGGTACCAGAAATCCATATATACAAAATAGGCACCTGATTTATTAAAAAGTCACTTTGAAGCAAAAAGGGTAGATAACTATTATTATTGTTGTTATTATTATAAATCAAAATTATACCTATTTTTGTCAGATCAGCAAGAGCTATATTTTTTGGTGTGTTGCAGAATTTTAGTAATTAGTTTATTTGTGCCATGAGATGAAAAATGTTGAAAATCGCTAACTTAGCACAATGCCCAGCACTCACAAGTCAATAAACATTAACAGGGAGTATGTTTTTCCCCTTCCTCTGAAATTCTTATACTGTGTTTTGGATCTCCTGTGTCTGTTTCCATGTTCTTACCTTTTTTCATTTTTAATCTCTTTAGAATTTTCTCTGAGTTTTGAAACAATTCAAATTTGTCTTTTAATCCAGTGATTTGGCACTTTGCAGGGTCTAAACTGGCTGCTCACCACATCTACTGCATTTCAATATCAGTAATTGTGTTTTCCATTTCCAAGCTGTCTTTCCTGATCTCAGATGGTTCCTTTTTTATCATTGCCCATAAATTTCTATGATGCAGTATACCACCAAAACTTTATGTTATGAATTGCAAATTAGAAATGTCCTAAGAGTTGTTTGCCTGTTTTTTACAGCATCTGTTTTAACAGGGTACTTTATTCTGATTTTCCAAATTGGTCCCTCATGTTAGTATCAGCTGGATGTTCATATACGTTTTGTGAGTTTTCTGTTTCCTCATTGTACTTGTGGGGAGTTGTAATGGGTTACAGAAGAGATTCTATTGAAATGTTTCAGTGAGAAATGAAAAAATACAGATTCATCAGGGTTATTCTTTGCAAGATCAGAGATCCAGAAAAATGTGAGGTGTAGGGAAGAAACTATAGAACTTTAAGCTTTTATGTACCTTAGGCCCCACTTTCTGTTCTCCCTCTTTTTTTTTTTTAAAGAGAGTAACAGATACCTCCATTCTTTTCTTCTTCAGAAATCTCAGCTTGGGAGAGAAGGCTCATCACCTTCTGCTTACCCCATTTTCTGTGAAAGGCACCACCCTTCTTCCAGTCAGTCAAGTTTGAACCCTTAAAATAGCTTTGATTTTTTTTACGCTCTTTCTTCTACATTCAAATTTCCTGCCAAGTCATGCAAAATCTAGCTCTGCGATTTTTTTTTGCATCTGTTTCCTCTTTTGAATTCTTACCACTACCACTCCCATTCAGGATTTCAGGGTTTTCTCTTAAACAACTGCAAAAGTCTGCTAACTAGTATTCTTACCTCCTAATTGGTCTTTCTAAAGTTTTGCCAGATCCATTTTCCTATAAAGCAAAACTCTCCCAATGTCCCTCCCCTGCCCAAGAATACACAATGGCTCCCCACTGTTTGCTGGCTTTACCACAAGCACTGCAGTCTGGCATTTGAGACTCTACAACATCCCATTCACAACCGTGAATAGAGATCCATATAAAAGAATACCAGGCAGCCAAACCCACAGACTAAGTTCTTGAACTACTGTACTTGACCCAACTGTACTGAACTCCATTCTCCTGACCTCCTTCACTACCAGTTTATTGGTTTATGTCTCCCTACCCGCCCCCCC